CAGGAATGCATTGTAAACACTGTAAGAAGTTCCTGTAGCTATTTAGCAAATGGCTTACTGTTGGCTTTTCCCAGGAGGAGAATTTGTGTAGAGCGTTATGCAGAGACCCGAAAGCTGCCGCTTGCAGTAGGTGCTGGAATACAAGTGCCAATCAAAGTATCCAAGGGACTCGGGGTAGCTCTGCTGTTTAACCAGGCTGTAGCCAAAACGTGGTGTTAACAACCAAGGGCACTTCATGCTGTAGCATGTGGTCCTGCACCTCTCCTTCAGCTGGCTGGGAAACAGCACTTCCTTGTCAGAGCCAGGGAGCAGCTTAAGGCCGCTGCTGGAGCAGTGTGTCCCATTCACCATCACTCCTTACTTAGTCTCCTGGCCAGCCCTAAGGCTGGAAGCAAATAAGCAGGCAGCTGTAACATTTGGCATGGTAAAGAACTCTAGCTTCTATCCGAGCACGACAAGGTGCTACATGAAGCCTAACATGACAGTAGATAGGAGGCTCTAAAAAAGTCTGCTTGGGTGGCCTGTCCTGCAAAAGCTATGTAACTGTCCCTGTGAGACCTTTCTTCTTCCCTGCCCTTCACTAATTGCCTCTGTCTTGGAAGCAATAAAACAAGCTTGAGATGCATCGCTATAAAGCAATAAAGTGTAGAATGTGCAAAATGTCAAAAGAGCACTTCTTTAGGGGCTCAGCTGTGCTGCTGCAATTGCACTGCAGGGACCCAGGGGTGGGTGTGGGAAGGCGAAATACCCAAATTCAGCTAAAACACTTCAGTTGTTTATTAAATATAAATCCTCAGTGTAAACTTGCTCGAACACGCTCCTGCTGCACATGTAAGTAATGCCAGCTGCTGCTATGTAATGTTCTTCAGGAAGTCTCTGCAACAGAACAATGACAGAATAAACCAGGCAGAGTTACTGGACTAGGCAGTGGATTTGTGCTGTACCTGCCTTGTGCTCTGGGAAGGTAAAGTAACCTGACCGAGGTTGTCTTCTCTGTTTCTAACGAGCTGCAGACTACACCAGCTCGGTATAAGCTGCAGTCGCTCCGTACATATTGGTTCCCACAAGTGAGAGAGGCAGCCTGGACTCAGATTAGTGACTTAGGACATACAGGAGCTGTGGCTGGTGTCACACAGGAGTGTGTTCAGAGAAGTCAGGCTGGAAGGGACCTTCGGAGGTCCTCCAGTCCAACCCCCTGCCTGAGGCAGGATCATCCTTATCCATCCACACCATCCGTTATCTAAACTCTTAACCCCAACACAATACAGACCTAACAGCCAAATCTGTCACACTTAAAACAGGGAACCACAGCAGCCAATCTGCTTCTATAAAAGGTTGTTAATATACGCTCAAGAGATCTCAAGTAGAGGCTTAGCGCCCGACTCCATACCAATCAGACCATGATGGAAAATTCCTTCCTGACCCCAAATGCAGCATTGGTCTGACCTTGAGTGGAGGGCAAGACCCTCCAGCCAGGAATCTCTGGCTTTAAGTCCCAGCAGGAGCATTGGCACAGCCTAGTCATAATCCCCAGCCTTAGCTCCAGCCAGCACCCAATGCCTCCAAGAGAGGCTTAAACCCCATTTCCCACTTCCCCCTCAACGCATGTAGCTAAAAGGCAGGGTGGGGCAAACCAAGACCAGGAGCCCCCCATTAGTAGAATAAAGCATCACTATGCCTAGACCATCCCTGACCAGTGCCTGTGCACCCCCACTGCCCGCTGTTGTAGCAGTGAAGAAGTTTTCCCTGGTATCCAACTTAAACCTACTTTGCTGCAATTTCAAGCCATTGGTCTACTTCAGGGGCGGGCAAAATGCACCCCAGGGACTGGATGCGGCCCACCAGGCCATTCTATCCGGCCTGCAAGGGCCCTAAAAAAATTTAGAAAATTAATATTTATCTGCCCCTGGCTGCCTGTCATGCAGCCCTCAATGGCTTGCCAAAACTCAGTAAGTGGCTCTCCCCGCAAAATAATTGCCCGCCCTGGTCTACTTCCTAGTCTCAGCAGCCAAACGAGGGAAGACAGAAGATACCCGGAGCATCGGCACCTGGCCTTACTTACTTCACAACAGTGGGAAGGTCTGGATGGAAAGAAATGTAGTCATGCGCCAAGCCCAGCTTGTCAGGAAAGGCCACAAACCTAACCTTGTTCTTGTCCTGGTAGGCGCTGATGGCGATCTCAAAGAGCTGTGAAGAGAGAGGGGCCTCTAGCAGTTCACTGAGTGCTACAGTAAATGAGGCTTTTGCATTTGAAGTGCTTCATTCATCCCCAGGCCCTTGCACTGATGGCCAAAGGTGGCTACAGATTCCCCCTGGGACCTCAGGACAAGCTAGGATGCCCGTTTTACAGGCAGGGAACTGAAGTAGGGAGCCCATGTCACCTGCGCAGTGTCTTCCAGCACCAGTGCTGCATGTCAAACACAGGAGACCCAGCACAGCCAGCTTCTTCCAGCAAGACGAAAGGGTCTTGCCAGATGGAATCGCTCCCTGCCTGCTAAAAAGGTGGGAGTGAAGCCTGAATAAAGGCTTACCCGAGAGCTGCTACTGCTGGGCCTGCCTGTATTCGGTCTCCAGTTGGGCGATTGCAACACCCAGAGGAACAATTATCACAGGAAATCCTGTGAGTGAGCTGCCGCTGACAGCCAGGGACAGTGGAAACTCAGCACCCGGGCTCTTTGAACGCAGTCGTTATGCTAGGCTCAGCAGTCCCTACAGCTGATTTTCAGTGAGTTTCTGAAGAGCTGTGCCCAGCCATGCACCACGGTCCATTAAGAACAGGAGCCATATTCTGCGGCACAGATATCACAAGTCGCATCGGCGATGCAACGGGGCTTAGGAGCTTTCACGAGCATTTTGCTTAGGGCCCCGCCACTGAAAGACGGTTTCTCAGCATTGAGTGGGGGCAAGCCAGGCACCCAGGTAGACGCCGACCTCCGGGCCAGTTTGGACTCAAGCCTGCGTAACCAAGTTCTTGGTGTCCAAGTTGTAGCCATGTTGGTCGAGAGGAAAAAGCATTCGGGACTCGTGCTAGAGGTGATATCTTGTATTAGACCAACTAGGCTTGCAAAAATCTAGTTGGTCTAATACAAGATATCACCTCTACCATAAGTCCTAAATGCTTTAATCAAGTTGTTAACACTCGGCCTGTCCAGCCCAGCCAGAGATACCGCTGGTGCCAGCCAGAACTTGTGTGCCAAGTACTGCATTGAGCGTGTCTGCCCATCTAAGGAACGCCAGGCCAGCTCACCAGTATGGGCACAGCTCCTTTAAATCAACATAACAAATGCTATGGAGGGTATGATGGGGTAGGGAATTGCTCTAGGTACACCCTGTTCAGGGCTCTTGCTCCAGAGCAGCCACTCCTGCCACTGCTGGACTCGGGATACTCCCATGGACTAGGAAAGGGTGCAGGGACATTGCTAGCAGACTGTGTTATAGCACAGCAGCTGGGGAGCCAGTTCCCAGGATGCTACGGGTAGGCAACACATTCAGGCTCTGAAGGGCGGCACTAATCTGTAGCATTAGGAAGGTTCAAATGCAGCCTTTCTAATTAGCCGTTATGGGGAAATTCGATATACATATTCAGTACAGCAGCGAGCTGGCCACAGGACCCACTCCACCCTGCAGTTTTAGTCTACAACCGATAACGCCCGAGTGCACTTTTCACTTTTTCCCCTGCAAAACGACAGTGTAGAGGGGCTCAAGGGGCAAAAAGAGAGTTACCTTTCGACCCAGGTGGGAGGGAATGATTGGATCATCCTCTGCGTGCAAGATCAAGATGGGACTGGTCAGCACTTTCACACTGAGGGGACAAAAATAGTCCAGTGACCCACAGAGAGCATCGATTCCAGCTTTTCTCACTCCAGCTCAACATCAGCATTTGATCTGGAAGAGGCAGGAGGCTTTCTTCTCACCCACAATTGCTGCACCGTGCCCCCGCCAGAGCACAGCTGACCAGGCAGGTGAGTCCAGGACCATGCTGCATTAAGACTCGGAGCAGCCTGGACCCAGATCAAGGTCTCCCAGGCAGAGACAGCCAAGAGCTGAGCTATGAGGCAGCAAGGGACAGCACCAGCCAGCTGTCCAGTAAACCCAGTTCAGGTACTGTGCACCTGGCATTCACCCACCTGTGGGCAGCGAGTTAAGTCAGGGCATTTCATCTCTGGAGGGAAGAGCTCAGCTGCTCCAAGTCAGTTTTCCATTTCCCGTGCGGGTGATCACAGGCGCACGAGCCATCACTACAGGCCAGCTGTTCTGCAGCAAGCCCCTGCTCATTTAGCACCATTTGCCCCTTTATTTGTGCTCGCAGACTGGGGCATGTTCAGGGACTGTTTCTGTGAATCTGCCTTCCAAAGAGGACTGGCCGTCAGCTAGAGCTCAGCAGTGCCCAGCAGCGGCTGACAAAGCAGCAGGTGTCAGACGAGTGGCATGACACCCAAGGAAACATAAGTGCCACATGGGTTTAGTTCATCTAACCTAATATCCTCTCTCCAATGGTGGCAGCAGTGGATGCTCTACAAAGACAGCATCAAACCGGAGCTATCCCCTATTCAAATTCCCTCCCTGCCATCCACAATTATCAGACAAGAGGAAACATCTCCAACCATTTTAAGTTGCACCGGAGATATTTCCATTCAAGCGATCACTGTTTGCATGCGCCTTTAGATTTCAGAGCTGAAGTGCCAAAAAGCAGCTTTCCGAAGCTACAGCTTTGGGCCGCGCGCTCCAGGCTCCCAGATTCGAGCGGTAATGACCTAGGAGCTCACCGCTTTTCAACCACCACAATGCAACCGGTGTCCTTGGAGGATGGCCGGACCATGAACCTGCACGAACCTCTCAAATCTGCATCAGGGCTTTTGTTGTGTGCAAAAGGCCCTGAGTCTCTCAGTCATTAGCAGTTAGCTGGTATTTATAGCACGTGGAAAAGCCTGCATCTGATGGCACAGAAATTGCCACTCCACATAGACCCGTCCCCTTGTAATGC